CTATCCAATGATGAAAGACACAGTAGCATCACAGGACAGATATGTTGAGTTATCTGTAACTATAAAGTATCTTATATGGCTAATAAAAGGTCAGCAGCAGTTTGTTGGTTGTTCAGAGCGGGCTTGTCTTCCGAATTAAAAGAAACTTTAATTCTTAATAGTATCTTGCTCTATGCACTTCCAGTAGTTTTAGACTCATTTTATACCCTACATTGTCGCAGTTTTTGAGTACGTATTGAAGAATACTTGAATTGTTGTGAATTTTTTACATTACCGTGTTCTTTTATATTTTCCTCTAGTCTCTTGTGGAACTGAGCTAAGTGCTCTTACACGTCGGGCAAAGAAATTCTTTAATTAAACATTTTATACGTTGAGGACTAATTTTATCTTTAACTTGGAATGGGGTGTGAAGTCTCGCAGAAGATTTTGAGCACACATTGTAATTTGATTTATGGAAACTTGTTATGACTGTATTCAGTTTATTTTTGATCTGAAAAGGGTGAAACCAATAAACGGGGGAGCTATAAACACTTGCATTTTAGGGGCGTCGAAATTTACAAATGTAAAGCTAGAAAGGTGGTTCATAATTTTCTCAATTGTGAATTCAACAAATCGTTTTGGAAAACAATTCGTAATCATCACTGATTTTAATTTTTTTCAATTCTAAGAAAGGGTCAGACGTGTTGGTAATCCTATGAGAACAACCTACGAGGAGACTCATTAGAGTTTTCTTACAATAACGTGGCACACGGATTTCAAAGTGTGAGTATAGCCTGGTTTAGGTAGGTTTGTGATAAACTCCGATGTCAAATTTTCTTTGCATGTCACAAATACGTGTCCAGAAATGGTAACTCAGAGTTTTGTTGATGCTCAAAGGAAATATTATCTTCATATAGTTGGCAAACTGCACCAATTGCTGATTTGTTTGAATATCACAACGTCTTCTACATAGCTTTGTAAAGAAGTGACTTAAATTTTGGAGGACTGTCATATAAATTTGACCATGAAAGCATGTAAGTACAGTATCCATGTATACAAATACAGTGTTTAAAAGTAGTGAAGACTCAGTTTTCTTTGGTTTCGTGTGTTGGAACCAACATAGCAAGTCCTACAATGTAATAGAGTAGTATTGCATTGATATAAAAGTTTAGCCAGTGAGTGAACTTATGTAATACTATTCAGTATGATGTTTAATTCACATTGACATATTTGCACAAATGCAACTGATGAAAACGGGTTAATAGGTAGAGAGGAATAATGTCTACGAGTAGATTTTGCGAAAGGAAGACTAGCTACACGACTACTCATGACTCTTGTTGAAATTTGTTTTTATTCGAATTATTTAGTTTTGTTTAGAAGTGAATATGAGTAACATAATATCACCAGTGATGTAGTGAAAACGCTTCCATGCATATAAATTAAATTAAGTCAATTTTTACAGTAGTCACGAATATTTTTCCAGTGATTTTTGTCTTTTTTTGTGCTAAAGCTCAATGTTAAAAAAATATCGTAAACTGGAAAACCGAATTCAGCTAGGGTTAAACATATAATCAGGTTACACACTAATACCTTTACACAGAGATGCCTACTTAGTAAGAAGTTTAAAAATAGTTTTGAATGATCAATAATTAGTTAAGTTATCAAAGTCAAATTGTGGAAGTGAAACGTCATAATCAGGATATTCAGGAAAATCAACAACCGAAGGGTACTGTTGTATAGTTTTGAAAGTGAGGAAGGCTGCAGAAAGTTTTGTTCTAGAATTAGTTCCAAAAGAATAACCATCCCATGACTTTTTGTGAAGGGCTTCATCAAGAACATCATAAGCAGTCTTCTTGTAAATCGTATCTCCAGCTTCAAGAGCCATTTCCTTTTTAGAATGTGGGACGTGTTTGTAGACTGCTACACGAGCTAGCGGTAAAACCCAAGCATAGTGGTGGTCCACGTCCAGTGACCGAACCATGGCTGAGGCATCTGGGTGAAGTGTCTGCATCAGTTCATATGCCACTCGACAGAGATGAAAGAAGTGGAAAAAATCATCAATTCCCTTGTCTTAATTTAAAGAAAAAAATCAGCATTGTGGAGGTGTCTTGAATTATTGAGGCTTCTAATTAAGCCTATTAAAGCCGACATTTTAAAGGTAGTTTTGCTAATTTAATGACTTAAAGAAAGTATATTTATTACTTTACTAAATCTACATGCATATGCATTTTCATGTTTTCAGAAAGTCAACTTTAGAGGCACTGAAATCCAAAGATTTCCCACTTTGCGGGATATGTATACTAACAGTTTATATTTTCTTTTTAAGCAAGTGGGGGAAATGGGTACTAGGTATCGTTTCAGGAAAAAAAAAAGACTAACTTTATAAGCAGTTCAGGTTGTAATATTGGTCATTTGACAAAGAAATTAGGCAGTAAAACCAGTAGTTACCCCAGCTCTTGAATACTAGAAGGATACTGCCACACGCTGATTGGCTGCCTCAGGGGAGGGGGGGGAGATTATGTCATCAAAGACGACTACGTCATAATTCACATAGGGTTGTAATTATAGTTGAATACTACAGCTATGACGTAATAGTTTTACGAAACAAAGACCGCCATGACGTCACATACAATGATGCACACGTTATGTGTCTCACCAAGACTATACTTAATTAGTTTAAATCACTAATTCATTAGTTGTATTTCTTAAAATTCTGTGTTAAGATTGTATGCATGTGATTTCCTAATAGTTGGCTTAGTCTCAAAATTGTATATAGTTTGGTATTTTAATTAATATTAATGTTAAACAGTAAGTCGTTCATTTATTATATTTACTTTTTTAGGATGTTTTAAATGGTCAGGAAATGTAATTAGTTAATGAATTAGTGTAAACCGTCCTTTTTAGGATGATTTAATTATAAATGAATTAATTAACTAATAAATTATGGATTTAAACCAATTAAATATAGTCCTGTTGAGATACATATCGTGTGCGTCATTGTATATGACATTGTGGCCACCTGCTATGGCGGTCTCTGTTTTCATAGAACTATTAAGTCATAGCCGTCTGTCTAGTATCGAACTATTATTTCAACCCTTTGTTGAACTATGATGCCATGGCGGCCTAGCAACGCGTCCCTAACAACACGTTCTCTGGTGACAATTTGTGGATCTTGACGTCATCGTCTTTGATGGCATCATTCCCCTCTCCCTGAGGCAACCAATCAGCATGTGGAGGCATCGTTTGGACAGTCAAGAGCTGGTGTAACTACTAAAAACTTTATTTTCATAAACAGCTTTTTTTTTCTTTTAACTAGAATTTTGTTAAAAATTAAACTGCATCACTTTTGCCCTCTTACTACTATCCATTTAAAGTGACGCCAAATTTTTTTGTAAAATAATAGTTTATGTTTTACATTATATTCCCTAAAAAAGGAAAACATGAAAATATGGTTCTTTTGGAATTTTAAATTTTCTGAAGATACACTGATTAAAATGTTTATTGGGCTTTTTTTTGGGATATTAACGTGGAATTTATGTAAATTTATCCATAATCTTAAATTATTTGTTTCACCAATGTGTAATTCACCATAATTTACACATTTTAAAAGACATATTGCGTTCTTAGAATTGCAATTAAATAAGTTGTTAATAAAAAACAACATTTATTTGTCATTCTTCTTTATTATTTTGGTAGGTTTCATATAACCTAAATTACATAAAGCACAGTTCATTCTGTCACAACTGTAGATACCTTCTTTAGAAAAATCTCTTTTTTTTCAGGTTTATTCAAAAACCTACACAAATTTTCAGGTTACCTTCTTGATAAAAATAATTTTATTGTTTTTGAATAGATCTTTCAGTTTTATCTTCTATTTGTTTTAATTGTGCATTAACAAATGAAATATCAATATGTATATTTGGACACGGAGTCACTACAAAAGATATAATATTCTCTATAGGTTTATTAATCTCTCTGTTTAAATGTTCTTTATCAAAAAAGTTATTCTTAGCAATTTAAAAACCTATTAATATAACTTTCTTCGGATAGTGAGACTGAACTAAAATTTGTTTAATTCCAGTAATCTATTACCTCTCGTTTCTTCACTGGAAACCGAATGATATAACCTACTTGCAAGATTTGCAGGAGCATTTATTTCTATATGTTTAGGATGATTACTAAAAAAATCTACATACTGATGAGAATTTGTGGGTTTATAAAAAATATTAGTTATAATTTCCTTTCCTCCTGAAACACGTGCCAACACATCTAAAAATTACAACCCTTTCTTATTATATATTTGGAAGGTAAACTTAATTTCTTTGGTTATTGAACTTAAAATTCCAACAAATTTATTAATAACTTGAGTATCTTTCCATATTACAAACAATCGTCTAAAAATCTTTTGCAAAAAAATTTCAATTGATCTGCAAAATTATCTTCAAAATAATTAGGTAGTATATTAAAAAAATGTAATTCGAAAAATCATATATAGATATTAGCATAAATTGCAGCGACTTTTGTGCCCATTGCTGTATCAGATATTTGGTGAAAAATTTGTTTCTTATAAATAAAAAATAAAACAAAATTTAAACTATATCTAAACCTTTTAAGATAAAACCTTTATTAAATATGGGATGAATTAACTTTTTATATTTATATAAATAACTCAAAAATTGATTAACCTCTTTGATTTATGGATTTTAGAAGTGCATAAAAGTAATTACTTAAAATAATTTGAAAAGATATGTATTTAATTTCGATTATTTATGCTTAGTTGAAAAACTGTATTTGTATGTTTTTTTGTTATAGATTCTCAATAAAACTATTTCCTGAAGAGGGACCTTTGAAGTCACGAAACCGGTAGAAGAAATTAATAAAAAAAAAAGAAAATAAGTTTGATATTCCAGTGTTTTCTTATTCATATCCACAGGTAAATCGTTTTGATGTTTTGGTTATATAGATATGATATATATAAATAGATAGATAAACAACATCAGTTTCATAAACTGTGTATGTTTTAACGAAAAGAAAAGAAATTAGGAATGACTAATGCGCAATACTTTACAATTCCCCTTGAATTTTCACGTTTAAATAAGCTAGGCTGCAAAAAATCTTTTAAGCGAGATTTTTTAGACTACCGAAAAACAAATTTAACGAAGAAAGATTTTCAGAAAGATCTGTCAATCAAGTGCCATAAACGCCAGTCTAGAATGTGTTGAAATGTTTATGAATAAAATGTGTTCCAATACATCTGATAGTATCCATATAACAATTTAGTATCTATGGTAATAACTCATTTATGTTTATTTTGTCATTATACGCGTCACTTTAAATGACATACTTAAAGATAATTTCAAATTACCAATAACTTTTACATATATTTACCACTGAATAATAAGAAACAGATCAATCTATAATAAGTAATATACTTATGGTAAAAAGGAGTAGAGAAAATTAAATGTGAATAATTTGGAGGGAGATATATGAGTCATTATACACTACACACACGTACCCCTGAGGAGAGAGTACAGCCAAGAAAGTTTGAATGAGCCAGAAGAAACACATCCGTTACTACTCCTACTAGAGAAGAATTACTATATCGAGTTTTTTCGTCTGAGTTGAACACGAATACGTAATTGGGATATCTATAAATGAAATCAACACGGACCTATCGAATTAGTAAACTGACTAAAATACATCCAAAGTTGAAAAATCGAATCTCATTGGTGAAATAAAAAACGTAATATTAACATAATATATAGAAATTATTCAATTATGTTTTTTGAGCTTCTTTCATGTTGCTTTGTAAGTTTAAAGAAATTGTACATTAATCTGTTTATATTTCATAATATTCTAAGGTTAAACAAGATGATAAACAATCAGTTCAATAGTTAAACATATTTGTAAAAGAGAATAATGATGAGTAATTTTTAACTTCAAAATGTCTTCAAAACATTGAAATACATCTGTACTATAACATGATACTTTGTTTTGAAATACATCATCAACGTTCTATTAAATCATCCAGACCAAGAAAACTTGTTGAAAACTATGCAGAAGAAGTTATTTTGTTTATGGACTAAAGAGATAGAACGATTTTCAAAACTGTTTTTTTTACACCTTATATAACTATTGTTTTTATTAACTGACAATATAAGTTTTTTTTCTTACTTCTTTTTGCACTCGATCAGTACTTTAGGATCATCCGTTGCAACAAACACTCGACGAACGTTCACGTTTTTCACAAGCCCCAAACGTCTATAAAAGTCATCAACATGCAGCATGTACTCCTCTATAGGGTGAAAACTTGCCTCATTTACTATCTTATCCGTGCGTCGCACGTGAATCCTGCGTGCAGTTATTTTAAAACAATATAAGAATTAATTTATACAATTAAAATCTTGAAAAATTCATACCGATACACAAACTGTATTGTTAACATTTATACATATATATATATATATATATACACCTCTGTCTAACTATTTTGCATTTTAAATTACATTGTAGAAGCATCTAGAGTTCTGACCTGACCATCTTTAATTTATAATTGCTACATAAAGGGAGGGTAACCATTTAGCAGCACCCACCGCCTATGCGGCTACTCTTAACCTGTTATAGTGCGCCCTACAGCTGAAATTGCGAAGCGTGTTCGGCAACATATTGCAAGCTCGACCTTTTAATATGAGATCCGCAGTCCGGCATAATAATCGCTCTGCTTCAATATAAAATCCGGCACGCTGTCCACTAAGCCATGTTTGGACTGCATTAAAAGGTTCCCCCAATGAGACAGCGATAAGTTTACAGACTTACAACGCTAAAATTCGGTGGACACAGCAAATAGCTCAAAGTGACTTTGTTCTCAACAAACAGCATTAGAAGATAATGAAGTTAAGTTATTTGTCAATTAGTCGGTAAGCAAATATTATTTAAGTTGTGTAATCCAGGCAGTTACATACATATATGTTGAAACTTTAATATTTTCCCAGAAAATAATACAGCCTATGAACAAATTATTTCAAATCCAGTGATTTTATGTTACGAAGTGAACTTTAAATGTATCAGTGTTGACAAGTTCTGTCCTTGAAAGAACATGTACAAGCAAAGTTCTTCAAAGAATGAGCCTTTCATAAATTTGAGTTACCCAAAAGTAATTACAGATTTTTGGAGTAAAGTATGCAATAACTCAATAAAATTTACTGTTCCAACTCTTTATTAATTCAAAATAATAGTGTAACGTGTAGATATTACAGACGTGGCCTTTTCATAACGTAGAAAACACGTGATTATATTACTGATTTCCTCTCTTTTCAACAAAAGTAAAATTGAAAATATAATATATAGAAAACAAATATATCTTTATTCAGATATATCTGTGTAATTTTATTAAATCTTAGTACAGGTTATTTGTGCTTGATTAAACGTTTTATGAAACTAGGATATATCTAGCTGTAAGCAGTGATAAGGACACTAGCCACCCTAATTTTGAAGTGATAGCCTAGAGCGAACAAGTTCAGTGACCATATTCGAACCCGTGAACCGCAAATTGTGAGTCGAGCGCCTTAACCACCTGGCCATGCTAGGCCTATACAAAAATTAAAACGAAAAAGAGTGTACATTCTCTGATAATGAACCTGGTTTCATCACTTCAAGGGTTGGAACTTTAATATAGAGGCGTCTTCTCAAATCTTGCTGTTTCGTTCAACGCCGCCATATTGGACGTCATTCTTCTAGCAATAAACCACATTCCATATCTTTTACAAGATTCGATAAAGCTTTATATGCTGTCAGGTGTGAACATCGCTTTAGGCAAAAAAAAAAAAAGAAGCGAAGCTCTATAGTCGTTCAGTTTCTCGATATATCTTTCTTGATGCACATTACTGAGATACTTGACAGCGTCAAGTACCACACTGTTAGAAGGCACATTTGTCACTTTCATCTAAAACTATTGTGAACACTATGTGTCGGTATTATTTCAAAGTGGAACAACTGTATACAGAAAAACCATAACTGTAATTTTGTGGAAATTCTGTTTAAATACACATAAAAAAAGCTGAGGTACGTTTTACTAAATACCATTCCCTTACATATATATATCTATATTTGCTTTACTTTAAATCTGCCCCCCAGTGGCACAGCGGAAT